TCGCTGTGATAAAAACACAGAGGAAATGATGGTTTTGCCCTTCGCCCTGCCGCTTGTGACTGACAAGGTCTGACTGTCCTGCCCAGCAGCCGTGACCCTTTGCGTCACAGGGAGTTGACCTCGGAGGGAGTTGATCCCGCTGAAGCAATGGGCCTGTGTGAACTCGAGCAGCGGAGGGGAGGTGTTTCCGTGTCTGGCTGCGGCAAGGCCTCGTCTTCCCTGCTGGGAAGCATGAACTGGGGACCAAACCCGCAAAGGCTGCCCCAGGGCTGTCCCCCTGAGCAAGGGGGGACCTCCTTCAAGCTGCAGAGCTGCTGCAGGTGTATCCTGCATGGGGATGCCTGTCTGTCCAGAGCTTTTGCTGTGATAAGAGAGTAGAAAGTAATCTTTTTTTGTAATTGAAAAAAAACCCCAAACCCTTAACAATTGTTCAGTGAGTTGAGTGACCCGGTTTGGATGTACGTGTGACTCGTCCCTTGGCTGGCAAGCTTGGCACAGCGGTGGCCAAGCCAGCAGTGCGGCACTAGGGCCACGTGCACTGTGTGCTAGGTTTGGCTGTGGCTATGTGGTGGATCTGCGCCAGCGGTGGAGGAAAAGTGGTGAGCCTGCCCGCAGAGATGGTGCCAGCTCTGCAATGCAGCTGGGCTGGCGTGGGGACCTCCGTCTGGTTATCCTTCACCACCCTGCACCTTCGCAAGGAAAAGCCTCTGGGGGAGCTGCTGGGGGCATAAAGAGCTGAAACTGGTTTTTGGCTCCTGAAATGATGGCTTGCCTTCCAGAACGTGTCCTATCTTGAACTGGTGGCAGGGGGCCAAAGTCCTACAGGCAGTTCCCCCTGTGGGACCTCAGTGGGAGCCGTGTTTGCGGTGTTGTGACCAGCGTTTAGGCATGACGAGGAGATAAATCAGCAGGCGTCTCGCAGGGAGTGTGCGGCGGGGATGCTCTAACAGCAGCCTGCCATTGCAAGGGTGTCTCTGGTTCTGCACTCTCTGGCAAGCGTTTGCTGGGGCTTGGCGTCTCACTAGAGGTATCAGCCTTGTCAGAGAAACCGCAGGTGTGTCCCCAAAGCACAGACCGTTTTCTGTCAGCAAACACCTCTCTCTGTTGGTGTCCCCATTCCCCTATAGGGCTATGCTGCCTTATTGCCGACTGATACTAAGTAGGGAGGCAGTGCCCCAGGCTTTCACCTTCCATGTGTTTTCCATGGTGGGGCACTTCCACAGCTGCCTGCATCAGCTGGCTGGGGGTAGGCACCTGCAGCCCCAATGGGTTTTGGCTTGGTTCGTGACACCAGGGATTTCTGCAACACACTTGTGGCACTGGTGGTGTCTTGTCCTTCTCTTTGTACTGAGGCTTACAGAGCACAAACACTTCCCAGCCACTGGGATTTTAGACCTGGGATGCTTGATCAGCAGTAGCAGACAAGCAGTGTCTGATCTTCCTGAACTGTTTTGGTCTGATGAATATTCAGTAAAAACATTTTCAGTGCTGCTCCTACATCGCAGACCATGTATGTTCCTGTGTCCCTATAGCATCTAAGACCTCTGTGCTAGACAGACTGAAAGAAAATGATACATAAAAAAACATGTCTTCACCTGTGCTCTTAAAGCCATGTGGGGACAAGTGCTGTCTCTGTGGTGCCTTTTAGTAAACCACAAGAGTGTTGACAACAGGTGTTTCTGTTCACCTGGACTCCTGTAGGCTGGGGAGATCATCCATCTCCTACCTGCTGGGGTTGCATGGCATGTTATTAACCAGATTGAATGGATGAAAAGTTACTTGGAGAGAGAGATTCCTTAAATGCACCCTCGCAAGGGATGGAGGCAAAGGCACAGGGGTTCAAGAATGTGTTATGGCTTTGAGTACAGCAGTAACTTCTTTATGCTTTGTTGGTTTAACTGTATGTTTAATGTCACATTTGTCCTTTTCTGCAATTTTGACAGGATACAAGAACTTGCAGAACCCAAGAAAGTGGCTTGTGCAAATGATCCCAGGTAAAGACATGCCCAGACAGCCTCGGCTCAAGGACTGGGGACCGATGGGGCCTCAGCTGGTGCAGACCCTTTGCATTTGTCTTGCTCTGCTTTCCTCTCAAGAGCAGAAGTAGCTCCAAAAAAGGATTGAAATTCTTAGTGCATGAGGGACTCTCTTCAATTTGTTCTTTCTCATTTTCAATCCAAAAACTGGGCATGACATGAGTCTTGCCTTTGCTGCCCCACTGAGATGTTGCAGGGTAGGATGGTGCTGTGATGCGAGGGGACCAGACCTCATTGGCACCACAGGCTGCTGTATCCTGGAGAACACAGTTAAGCTTTAGGAACAGAGTTGCTGTCTGCGTTACGGGGTCAAGTGATGTCTTGACAAGCCGGGGCAGCAATTTCTTAATAACGTCTCATCTCCACTGTCTGGATGGGTGTCACTGTGCTTGAAAAAGGCTCCACAAACCCATCGCCCTGTTCCCTGTCCTGACTACCCTGGTACCCTCTCCCACCGTGGCCTCTGTCTCAATGAGCAACTCCAAATTTGCCCTGGGCACAGGAGAGTAACCACTAACGTGCTGCAAAACCTCACCCACTTTCCATGGCACACCCTGACCGTAACATTATCATTATTTTTACTGTCATACCTGTGGTATAGTTAGGTGGTAGTGGTGAGGCAAGAAAAATGCAATCATGAAACTCCCCCAGGGGTTTCAGAGGTGTAATGAAACGACCCTTTCTGCACATCCCTGGTAACTGTAAAACCAGACCCATCACTTGAAGGCTCTTTTCTTTTTGAGTTGACAACAACCACCTGGACAGTGTTAGGAAATTCAGTGCCGTAGAAGGTGAGCGCTCAGGGGATGGCAGCAGTGCTGTACAGCTGTGGGGAGCCATAGGGACTGTGCGTGTGTGTGTCTCATCCGAGGTGGGAAAGGATAGCCCTGGCAAGCACATATCACACTTGTGCGTGTTTCTAAAATTTTACACCCTTGCTGTTCTCGCTAGGCTGGTGTGGGGAAACCAAGAGATGATCTGGACCCTGTCGCGGGGTGCTGTGACAACTCAACCATCACCAAGAACAGTGGCACTGGCCAAGCCCAAACAAGATTTTGGCAAGCACCAATGCAGGTCAGTGATTAAGAGGAAATGGCCTCAAGTTGAGCCAGGGGAGGTTTAGATTGGATATTAGAATGCATGCCTTGATGGAAATATATATGTGTCACACCTGTGTGTACAGAAGGACTGTCTGTCCCTAGAGTGTTCCCTGTCTGTATTGGGGCTGATGCAGCCCAGCCAGGCACAAGGACACAATTAGTGACCTCCTGCATCCTCTTGGAGCCTGGCCTAAATCTTGAGAATAGAGGTTAGGAAGTGCTATGAACAGAGAAATCTTGCAGTGTCCTGCTGGCTGGAGGGAATCCAGGCCTCTTGCCTTGAGTTAAACCTCTGCTGTCACTGCATGGTGAGTAACCAGTGAAAGCAGTCCATGTTTGGGAATCGGAGTGAAAAATGATATAAAAAAAAAAGTAAACTTCATTGGGGCTGTGAGATGATGCATTACTTGAAGGAACTCATCTGTAGCTCTGTTGGAAGGGATGAAGCTCTTTTGGAGACAGGATGGTGGTTGCTAGTCTGTAAGAAGTCCTAGCACTAAGATGAGACTGTGCTGCACGCCTGGCTTTCCTCTACCTGGAGGGATGTCAAGACACGTGTGTCTGAGTTTTCTCTCTCTCTGTCACTGTCATCAGTTCAGGGGCTCTCATCCGCCTGAGAGCTTCTGCCTCTGACTAATGGTGTCTGACAGCCCTTCCTGCCTTTCTACTCACCTCTCCTCACCACCTTCCTGGTGATGACAGGCAGCTGCCAACAGCTGTGGCTGATGGAAAGCTGGATGAGCATGCACCAGGCAAGCCTGGGGAGATCCCAAGATGAAAGGAGCTGCAAGAGCACAAGGTGCTATTAAGCCATTGAAACAAAGAGGTTTCTAAATTGGCAGAGCTGAACAACAGAGATGCTGCAAGGTTTGCATTGTGGAGTGGCTTCTTGAAATGGTCCAGGGAAAGGCCGAGACTTTGAGAGCAATGCACTGAGGGTGCTTAAAAGAGGACTCTGCATACACAAACAACATTTACCTTTAAAGTCAGGAAATCTCAAGTGCAAATGCCCATTGGTTCATGGCTTTTCCATGTGAACCGGTGCTAACTTTTGTAGATGCAGCAGGCATGTGTGTTTCACCAGACTTAGGATACCATCTGCCAGGATCATGTTCTCCATCAGTTGCCTTTTACTAACATTTCTGTTCTGTTCCTCAAGATCCCTCTTCTTGTACAGCTGCGGACGGGAATCAACAATCTGGGAGCGTCCCCTGCTAGTGGATTTTGGCTTCCCTTCTGATCGGCTGCTGAAGTTGTCTGAACCTAAAAAATACCTGGCTGCTTACCTGCAGCAAAGGTGAGAGTCCAGAAAGCCTGTGGGGTCCTATAGGTAGGCCCTTGGGTCTTGTAGCATCAGTGCAGCTTCAAAGTAGTAAATACAGGAACAGAGGATGGGTACAACAGAGGGCAAAGTGCAGAGCAGGGACTCTGCTGGGATTAGGACCTCTGGACTCATGGCATGAGTGGGTTCTACGCTGGAAATGGCCGCAAGACAAAGCTGCCTTCTGCTGCAGCAAGCATGAGGCTTACACCAGGCTGCAACTGGGATGTTTAAGCAGTGTGGGGGAATATCTGTAAGTGGCGGCGCCATGACGCTCTGCTTCCAGACCTCGCCAGTCCCCCGAGTGGCCCGTGTCACCAGCTGCGCTGAGCTATAAGGCCTCCCCGCGGATCCTGGAGCTTGCACGGCCAAAGGTGCTGCACCCAGAGTTTCTGCTGGCCAGAGAGGTGAGGAGGTGGCTGAGTGAGATTTGGAGGGGACAGTGCTGCAACAAACTGTCCTGAGCTTTTTCAGCCCTGTGTCCTGCCCTTGGATGTGCGCAGTGTGTGCTATGGAGGCAAGAAGCTCTCTGGTTCTGCTGGGGTTTGAGATACTGAGAGAAACTGCCTTTTCAGACTGAGGTGCTGTCTTTGAAAATCTTCCTGCTG